TGGTTCCGGCTTTAGAAAGAAAGATAGATATACCGAGATGTAGATAAGTCGGGTACTCTACTTCACTCTGTGTACTATGCACTTGACTCGATGCGCTTCACTCGATGTACCTCACTCTGATCTAATTACTTCACTCGGTGTACTATGTACTTGATACTATGCACTTCAGTCGATGTACTTCACTCTGATGTACTTCACTCTGTGTACTATGCACTTGACTCGATGCACTTCTGCACTTGATACTATGCACTTCAGTCGATGTACTTCATCACTCCGTGTACTATTACTCTGTGTACTTGATCCTATGTACTTCTCTGAAGGGCTTTGCACGGAAGAACCCTTCGCGATGCTTTCGAGAAAAAACGTCTTCTGGCTGGAAGGTCCCATCAAGGAGTCCTTAAGGCTTAAGGCTTCGGAGGAGCGAGCCTGCTGGAAGCGTAGCATGCGCTCAAGAATGGAAAGCTCCGAGACGGCAGCGCCATAACGAGTCTGACCCTCCGCCAGCAAGGACTCGGCCAGCAGTCTTGCCATCGGCTCGGACAGCAGCGGCCACACCTAGGCAGCGAGGAGACTTCTAGCGCCGACTGCATGCACTTGTTTGGGGCTCCGCGCTTGCAGGAGGCTCTGCAGGTGCTGCTGGAAGTAGGTGGAGGTCCAAAGGTCGGCGATCGAGCACCTTGCGGTCAGCTCCGCCCACATGCGTCGGTGCTCCAGAGGAAGCTCAGAGACCTCCCAAGGATATAGACCGCTAGGTGGCCCGGGTCCAAAACACCGCATGTTTCATTCCCCGCCTGGGACATCAGGTCCCCCAGCAAGAGTACGTAGCGGTTGTTGTCCATCGCTTGGTTTGCGAGAGGGCTTCCGAGATACCAGGCGCCAGACATGAGCCTCAACTGCGCTCCGAGAAGACAAAGGCAGGAGGACTGGCAGCTCTATGACTGCCGGCCAAGCACCCGCCCCAAAGCTGCAGGTGATCAAGGAAGGGCGTGCTGAAGAGGATCTTTTCTGGATCATCGTGAGCCAACTTCGCCACCCTGCTAGCTGCTAGCCATGTCTTTACGTGACGCCTTCTTTCTATCTACTCATCTGCGTATCCATCTACCTATGCATGGAGGTTTCGTCTGCTCTGGGAGACCCGTCCTTGCCGCCAGCGCTGAGGCTCCGAAGGCCAGCTGCGCCGTCGGCTCCGTCAGCCTCACGCGCGCGCGGGGCGCGACATTGGACGGAACGCGCATGCGGCCTGAGGGGCCCGGACTGCCTAAAGCGGTAGCGACCCTCCAGTAGGAGTCTGACGGATTCTGTGCCCAGGCCAGGACGGTGAAGGCCGCAGGCAGCGCAGCATTCAGGCATGCCAGGTCACTTCTGCTGAGCTCCTGCTCCTTCAACTTCCGCGAAAACACCCAGAAGGAAGCGGTGACGCTAATTTTGCGCGTCCTCCAGCACTGTCAGGCTCCGCAAGAACGCCTCGCCAGCCTGCGAAAGAGAGGCCCAAAGCGCGACTCCATCGCGGTAGCGCTTCTCTCGCCTCTCGCCTCTCCCTTCGCTCACAGCTCCTGCTCTCCCTCTTCCTCCCTCTCCTTGTACACTCCTCACTGCGCTCCTCTGCGAAGCGCTCTTCGCTCAGCAGCGCGGCAACTGCGAGGATCTGCCCGAGGCTCCCAGGTTGCCAGTCCTCCCGGAGATGCGCGGATGCCGCGGCCGCTGCGGATGCGACGCTCAGCCCCTCCGCCTCCGCCTCCGCAGCCTCCGCCGGCTTCGACTTCCGCAGTCCCATGGAACGAGACCCAAGCCGCGCTCAGGCTCAGCGGGGTCAAAGATGCCCATGGCTTGCGGCTGAATTCGCTGTCATCCGCTGATGCGGCTTCATTAGCGTCACTGCGTGGGGGCCTGCCAGTGACTCTATAGAGTCAGTGTTTCGATGGGAGACGCACTCAAGAGGTGACTGCAGGCGGAGGGTCGGCGAAATTGCAACAACACAGGCTTCTGCACTGCTGGGATGGTGGACAATGGGAAATCGTGTCTTGGACCAGCTAATCGTCTCGGACATCACGTTCTGCTTCTGCTCTCCGCTGCTGGAAACCACAAAACTGCTAAAAACACTTCAGAGCTCGGACCTCTGCCGGCCACTGCTCTGGTCCTTCCAAGAGCTCCTGCAGAGCAAAAAGAGGAAGTCCGGTCCATCCCCCACCCCCGCCGCGCGCCTTCAGGAGGACGCACTCTTGCACTTGAGCCCTGGCCTGAGCAGAGGCTTTCTACATTTCTGGCACCGGGCCATATCCCCCCCCCCCCCCCCCCCC